CATATTACGCTTTGAGAGCAAGAGTAAGGGGTCTGGGTTTTAAGCAAGGTAGCCCCATTCAGTGTTCTGATACACATTTTACAAAAATAACTCATGATGCTGCATGGAGAACTGGGAAGGAGGCTGACTAGAGCAAGAATGGAAGAAGGAGACTGGACAGGGGGTAGTGGGTATGGCCTGAGGAGGCAAGAGAGATGAGGACAGTAGGAGGAATCAGAATACAATCTTGAGAAGGAGTCAAAAGCTTGTCAATAAATTGAATATGAGGAGTGACGGAGAGAAAGAAATTGAGGATAATTGAGATTTTTGGGTGAAGCACACAGATGAATAGTGATGCCATTTACTGGTAAAAACAAGGCCAAAGGAGAAGCCATCTAGGTAGAAGGTAGGTAAGAAAGATGATGTAAGATGCTATGGAAGAAAACAATGGATAGAGAAATGTGGGCCAAGACAATTATTGGCAGCATGTTGTCACTGCAGTCATAATCATCATCTTTGCTAACATTTAATGAGTGCTAATTATGTGCCAAGCATCACCCTAAAGCTCCATATCAACTTTATGAGGTAAAAACTATGGTTCATCTCATTTACCAATAAGAAAACTGACGTTTCTAGATGTTAAATAACCTCCCCTGCATCACACAGCTAGGAAGTGAAGGACTAAGAACTGATCCCAGGCAATATGACGTCAAGCTCATGCTCTAACCCACTGTGCTAAATTATGTCCTCCTGTAAGAATAAGGAATATCTGTTTTCTACCCACATACGTGAGTGACACGTCTTCTCTCTTTCATAAGTAGCCAAAGTATTATACCAGCTTCAAATTAAAACGAAACAAAACATGTCCTAGGCCTCTAATCATATCACAATGAAAATTAATCATCCTTCTAATAACTCACAGAAATTCTTAAAATTGTACTCTAATTATAATTGGTTTATAGTTAACTTTATGAAAAAAATGTGAATGTACCACGGCCATCTTCATCTAATAACCATAAATAAAAATACAAAATGTTGGGCCGGGCGCGGTGGCTCAAGCCTGTAATCCCAGCACTTTGGGAGGCCGAGGCGGGTGGATCACGAGGTCAACAGATTGAGACCATCCTGGTCAACATGGTGAAACCCCGTCTCTACTAAAAATTACAAAAAATTAGCTGGGCACGGTGGTGCGTGCCTGTAGTCCCAGCTACTCGGGAGGCTGAGGCAGGAGAATTGCCTGAACCCAGGGGGCGGAGGTTGCGGTGAGCCGAGATTGCGCCATTGCACTCCAGCCTGGGTAACAAGAGTGAAACTCCGTCTCAAAAAAAAAAAAAAAAAAATACAAAATGTTAATTGTAAACTTCCATTGTTTAAAATTAGTCTTATAGTAAAGAGTAAAAATTTTACTAATACCCAATCACCACCTTTTATACAGTTTAAAGTTTTATTTTTTTAAAAGAGCTAAATCCACTGTTCCACAAACGAGAGTCCGAAGGCAATGAAAATATATAGAACAAGCATCTAGTCAAAATATCCTTTCAGTACCTTCTAGAGACATTAGTGGAAGGAATCAAGAAAGGAAGAAAGGAGAAAAGGAAGGAAGGCTGGGAGGGAGTGGAGCTGATAAAAAAAATTCTGAATACATTAATAAAGATACATAAGTCTCACATTCTATAACAAAACAAAAGGAACTTATATTGTACCAAAAATGAGACCACATATTCCACATTATGGGGTGACAATATTCATTCTGATACAAGAAAAAGAAAGGATATGTCAAGAATATACATCACTCATCATATAACATGGAATTGGTATCAGACACTCAGAAAGCTGACTTCCTTAGTTTTCTGTTTATGCCTGGACTTATATTAGCATTACGAAAGTGAAAAAAGTCACTGGGCTAACCCCATGTAATTTTTCCGCACATTCTTGCTTCAATTGGAGCATACCTCTTCCCTCCAGGATACTGCTTCCCCTGTAACCCTCTCAAGCAGAGGCTACGTATTCTCCCTTGCCCACATACATAGGGTCAGGAGGTCGGAACCACAACCTTCTCCATCCACAATGCCTCTTCTAGAACACTACTGCTCCTTTTTTGTGTGGGGAGTGGGGAGACGAGGTTAGGGGGCAGTGAGGAATCACAGCTTTGAGGCTTATACCATTCAACTAAAGGACTTTTACCTTCCTTATTGCTGTCATCTTCTGACCTCTCATTACCACTCACATGAACTGAAAATTTAACCCCTGGCTCACTCTCTTACCACCTTCATTCTGGACAGTAGTACTGCTGCTACTATCACCCCCATTACTCAGGCCAGTGGTGTGGAACAAAACTAAAAATAGGTTGTCAACCCTGAGCACAGGATGTCCTTTCCCAGTCTTTTAAAATAATGCTACTGAGACCAATAACATTTTCAAATACTTAATAAGCAATAATGCCTATAAGCTCTTGTCAGGTAATCTTTCTCTCACTGTCTCACACCATCAGTGTGAATGCAGACTAGGGAAAAAAAATCCTTCTCCCTTCCCCCGCCTGCCACAAGGCAGCTAGAACCTGGGATGACACTTGCCTGTTTCCAACAGGGAAAGAGGTTCACCCACATAGGAGCAGCAGCAGGAGGCATAAACGAAAGGAACCGTGTGAAAAGAAATGCAGAACCGCTTCTATAATTTTGAAATTTATACTGTGTGGCAGCCCAGTGTCTCAGGAAAACAATCACTTTCATTTTTGCCTCCTACTGCCACGCCGACCTTTCCTGGTTGGTGAGTCAGTAGGAGGCAAAAATGAAAGTGGTTATTTTTTCCCTCTTTGAAACACAAGGCTGTTAAAAACTGTGAATCTCAAAATCATAACATGAACTTCCTAATTTTTGGAGGTGTCTTTGCTGGAAATAACATAATATGAAACAATAATGTTTGGTATATGTGTAAAAGGAGTATTAAAAGGTCTCTATTTAATAGACGTAAGTTGTTTATTATAATCTTGATAATACAATTTCTGATCATCACATAAAATATAATGAGGACTTAAAAAAATCTTCTTGAAATTAAAATATTGGCCTTACTTTAAGCTAAAGGGTCTTTTTAATCAATATAGAGAATTCAGACAGGTATAACAAAGAAAAGCAATGTAATAGTGCAATTAAGTACAAGACTAATTTCAATGGGTCCCTGGTTGGTTTCAGTTACATACATGTTCTTATTGAGCTCCTACTACAATGAGAAGTGGGAGCTCAATAAGCTTCAATTTCTCAGGGCACTGAATTACCACAGGGCATCCACGGTAAGTAAGATACAGTCCTTTCCCTCAAGCAGATTTTAACCTAATAAGACAGATAAGAAAAATGCCCATATAAAAAATGACACAAAAGTATCAGAAACAGCAGAAGAGGGATGCAAAGAAGACATTGTCACGTTTTCAAGGAAAGATACTGCATTCAGAGGATCAGACAGCTTTATGGTAGATATGGCTTTTTTCATGGTCCTTGAGGATGTGAAGGATTTAGAACATTGGAGGGGAAGATGGAGGGGACAAAATGAGCAAAGTCACAGAAGCAGAAAAGGTTTTTTTTTTTGGTAGACAGTTATTCTCTGAACAGTGCTTCTGTGATAAGTCAATAGATGCACAAAAAATAAAAAAAGGATTCCATAGGCAAATTAAGTTTGGAAAACACTACACTACTCTTTGAAATTCATTTACAATGCACATTACTGTAGGAAAGGCTCTGAGAAAGTATTGCCACAAAGTCACTGTTTTCCCCAAGTCTCCCAAACCTATTTGACTACAGAACTCTTGCAAATTGCCCAAATGTTTTCAGAAGTACTATCCAAACAAAATTGGGACAAGGCTAGCAGAGTATACATGAGACATAATGCAGAATGCCTCAAAGACTAAGCTGAGAAATACAGTCTTCAGGAACAACAGAAATAAAAATGAGGTACTGCCCCAACATGGAGCGGCGATTGCTATTTTAAACATGTCATTACACATTAGCTTCATCACGAGCATTCACATTGAATGCAGGATACTAAATCATGAATTTCAGTAATGTGTGTATATTTTATACTAAAACTTTTTTTTTACTTCATTTTATTTTATTAAATACAAGAGATAGGCAAATATGTAACAGGAGAAATAAACTACAAGTGAGAGGGAGAGAAAAGTTACCATCATGGAAGGCAGCTGTGGGCAAGGCAAAATCAGCCCACTAAAGCAAGGGCAGGTACAAAATGTACTGGCATTCCCAAACATAGGCACAGCCTCACCTTTTTAATTTTTTTTTTTTTGAAATGGAGTCTTACTCTGTCTCCCAGGCTGGAGTGCAATGGCGCAATCTCGGCTCACTGCAACTCTGCCTCCTGGGCTTGAGTGATTCTCCTACCTCAGCCTCCAGAGTAGTTGGGATTATAGGCATGTGCCACCACGCCCAGCTATTTTTTCTATTTCTAGTAGAGACAGGGTTTCATCATGTTGCCCAGGCTGGTCTTGAACACCTGACCTCAGGTGATCCACTGGCCTCAGCATCCCAAAGTGCTGGAATTATAGGCATGAGCCATTGTGCCTGGCCTCACCTTTTTTTTTTTTCCTCTAAACCTAATACTAATGCTCAGAGCTTACAGGTCATTCAAATAAAATTAAAAGCTAAAGCTGCCTTTTTGTTTCCATGTTTGTAAATGGGAGCTAAACACTATCAAACAATATTTTAAAATAAATATTTCTATCAAAACATCAAACTGCACCCCATAAATATGTACAATTATAATGTATTGATTAAAAATAAATACATTACACCTAAATAATTACACCTAAAGAGTATACTAATTACACCTAAAACTATACCTAAAAGCCATAAAACAGAACTGAAAAACAAACAAAAAATGCTGATTAAAACCTGAAAATTCAAAATTAGCATTTTTGGGCTACTTTATTTCCTAAAGGAACAATAAATGTACTACTTCTTACACATATTTAACATAGATTATATATACTTCTGGCTATCTTGATTAGGATAAATTACCTGTGGTTGGAACTGAGGAACCGGCGGCCCTTGCATTCCTTGTGATTGCTCATCCATTGTCTGAAGCAACAGGAACTTTAGAACTCTGCAAAAATGTAAAGTTGATATTTAAATAATGTAATCATTACCAATTCACGTCATTGATCAGACGCTCGACACATGCATTCACATGCTAGAGATTTACCCAACGCTTCAAAAATTCATTGAGATATACCACACTCTGTTGCCGTTTGCTAAATCCAAGCTCTAGTTAGCTCCCACAAATACTGTCTCAACCATTTCTACTTCTCCAAAAGCATTAACTGTTTAGAAAATCCTGTTTCCTGAAATGAAATTCTTCTCCATTCTGCCTTTCAGATGAAAGATACTTCCCTCTCCCCGGACACTATGAGAAGATAAGTATCAGAGTAAGCTCCCTATAATTATGCCCAATGTCTTACATCTCTAAAATGCAACTTAACTTTATATTCTAAAAATGTTTGTACTTTTATTCTTTTATCCAACTGCTTACTGTGATTTCTTAAACTTTAAAAGGCCAGTTTTCCTGAGAGTTTTTATTCTTTTCTGCATACTTCGTAATTATAAAGCATTCATCTATTAATTCAGTAAACATAGGCTGAAGGTAATTATATGCCAGGCATCTCACAAGACTCAATAATTGAAATATTAATGAGACACAGCCCTTGCCCTCCAGGAACTACATTTGCACTCATTCTACTCAACACCAAGTGTTTCTAGGTTCTTTACAAATGTTATTTTATGACCAAAATCTGTGAGTCAAAGAACTAGGGTTCCTTTTAAATGGGATTAACTGATGGAAAAACTAAAACACATCTTCACTTCATCATACTCTTTAAAAACCAATAAAAATATTCTGGGCATGGTTCATTTGTATTACAAATTTCTTCTTCTACCTAGCGACTTGTCTTTTTAAAACATTCCTAACGGTGTCTTTCCATGAACTACTACTATAAAGAGAAATTCATAATTTTAATGTTGTCTAAGTAATCAATCTTTTTCTTTAAGATAAATGCTTTGTGTACTATTCATAAATTATTTTTCTACTCTAAGTTCTCATATTATTTTCTAATGCAAGCTTTATTTTTTAACCTTTAGATCTACAATCCATTTGGAATTAAGTTTTTTTAATGATATAAGGCAAAGTCAATCTTTGTTTTTCTTTAAGGATATCCAACTGACCTTAAATGATATATTAAAAAGATTATCCTTTACCACACTGCACTGCTGCTGTGTCATCTTTGTCATATACCAAATGACCGTGTGTTTATATACACACACATATACGTATATACACACGCATATATGTATTTGCACTTTCGTTGCTGTTCCACTGGCTATTCACCTGCACAACACCAATACTACACTACAGAGTGTAGCATAGTATACCTGCTACACTGTACTATTAGTACTCCATATAACTACAGTATTTATTACTATAGCTTATTATAAAGTCTTGATACCTAGTTAATCACGTCTGCTTTTAATATGAGTTATAAAATCAGTCTGCTTGTTTTGATTTTCTATAAAAAGACTGCTGAGATTTTGATTGCGATTACGTCAACCTTAAAGTTCACTTTGGGGAGAACTGACGTCTTAATAATAGGGGGTCTTCAAACCCCTGAACACAGAATATCCCATTTAAGTTTCTTTCAATAATGGCTTCCAGTTTCATATATTGATCTTTCACATCTTTATTTCAGATTATTTCCTAAATGTTTTGTATTTTTTGACACTACTGTAAATGCTGGGTTTTTTAATTCAATTTTCTGATTGTTATTAGTGTACAGAAATAAAACATTTCTGTATGTTGACCCTGTATCTTGCATACTTCCTAAAGTTGCTTATTAGTCCAAATGGCTTTTCTGTAGTTTGCTGACTTACTGCGATAGGACCTCCAGTACAATAGAAGTAGAGAAGAAACATCCTTTCCTTGTTCCTAATCTTAAGAAGAAAAGTCTTCAATCTTTCACCAATAAGTATTATGTTAGCTATACATTTTTTAGAGATGCCCTGATTTATCAGGTTGATAATTCCCTTCCATTCTTTGCTGGAAGTTTTTACAAAGAATAGATGTTAGATTTTTGCCAAATATTTTTTTGTATCTATTGAAATAATTACATGGTTTTTCTTTTTTAATCTGTTAAAATGTTGAATTATGTTGATTCAATTTGGAATGTTAAACCAGTATTCATTTCTAGGATGAACCCCACTTGTTCATGATGAATAATCATATTTATATAGTGTTGGTTTCAAGGAAGGGAGGAAGATGAAGGAAAACCCTAGAAGTGAATCTAAATAACTTTTAGCAGGAAATCCAATATTAAATTAAAATCAGCATTTCATACCTGCTGCCCTACAGATAATTTCACAGGACATTCCATGAAAAAAAGAAAAGAGTTTCTTGGTCAAAGACCTCTATGAAATACTATTTTTTATGTGAATCTCTCTTAAGAGTCATAGTGAATAGCACAGTAAAGGACCCAAGCAGGCCTGCAATTAGTAAAAGTTTTTTAACTTTCTTTTGCTTTCTTTGTGTAATATTTTAAAATATCCCACAGTTTGACTAAAGAAGCCACTTTGAGAACTTCTATGCTAGGTTATAATAAAAGTGGTTTCACTATAGCTACTGATATGTGACAATGTCTAAACAAACAAAATCATGAAAAAGGAAACGTAAAACTCAAAGAAACTTAAAGTGTTTTACTGTAAAAATTTATATAAAGAAGTCACTTCTGCGGTATCCCATAAAGAAGGTCAAGGAGCCTCTGCTTGGAAAAGAAAATTCTGAAGACATTTCTCATATGAATGTAAACTTAAAAAGAATGAAGAAAAATAAATATGACCTGCGCTTTTCCTCTGTTCTCACACCACAGCAATCACAGTAAGACTTCTGTGACCAAATGTGTAGAGGTTCCTCCCCACCCATCAAGCAAATAATCAGTTCTGCAGTGGACACCAGCTGAGTTCCCTCAAATTCAATTCCAATACTGTCTTCCTGGAGATAGCACCAGATCCCACAGGTTAAGGGCTCAGTCTCACAAGATCACTGTCCCCTTCCCACCAGTCACAAGTCAAAGCCTCTGGAATTTCTGACCAACTCGCTTCAAGTTGGGGTGCCCATGACCCCCTCTTTGGGTTTGACTAATTTGCCAGAGTGGCTCACAGACCTCAGGAAGAGAAATACATTTACCCATCTGTTATAAAGAATATTACAAAGCATATGAACAGAGAGATGCATGGGGCAGATAGGGGAAAGGGGTGTAGAGCTTCCATACCCTCCCTGGATGCACCACACTCCAGGAACCTCCAATGTATTCAGCTATCCGGAAATGCCCTGAAACTGAACTCTTGGGCCTTCTGTGGAGATTTCATTGGCTAGGCGTGACTAACAACCATACAGAAATGTGACTGGACAAGAAAGATAGGATCTAATACTAATAGACTGAGTGGGGCAACCCAGCCAGCCTGTCTGTTCAGATTCTTCTTGGCCTCTTTGTGCAGCATTCCTTCCCCAAGGATATGAGACAGAATCCCTTCTGAAATGAAGGTGTTAAGACCTACAATCAGCCAACAAGGCAGGTCAGAGAATCTTTATGGCCATTTCCAAGGCAGGAAGCGGGGGAAGACTCCTGCCTTCAAGAGAGAAGGAAGCAGGGGAAAGAAAAGGAGACAGTTAAAAAAAAAAAGAAAGAAAGAAAAGAAGAGGGTCACAGAGAGAGATTGTTTTCTGAGGCCTGCTTCTGAGGCCACAGGTACCCCAATATTAGAACAAAAGACTGTATCAAGGGTTATGCGAGTTATGATGCAGGAACTATAGATGAAATCATACACATAATATACTAAGTACAATGAATAAAAACTTTTTGCATAATATCTAACATAATCCCATATGTAAATGGGTTTGTTTGTTTTTTGTAGACAGTCTCACTCTGTTGCCCAGGCTGGAGTGCAGCAGCATGATCTTGGTTCACTGCAACCTCCACCTTTCAGGTTCAAGTAATTCTCCTGCCTCAGCCTCTTGAGTAGCTAGGGTTACAGGTGTGCGCCACCATGTCCAGCTAATTTTTGTATTTTTAGTAGAGACAAGGTTTCACCATGTTAGTCAGGCTGGTCTGGAACTCCTGACCTCAGGTGATCCACCACCTTGGCCTCCAAAAGTGCTGGGATTACAAGTGTGAGCCAACGTGCCGCAGCCTTCAGTGGGTTCTTAATGTTCTCAGATATGTCAATGTTTACATACTGATTTAACACCATTACTTATCATGTCCTCGGAAGACCAAATAGTTTATCTCGTACCACTAATGAAAGAAAAATATATTTTAATATATAAAATATTTTAATATGGATTCAATCTTTCAGATTGTAAATCCCATGTGTCAGGGACACATTTGTGTCATCCACAGCTGTATCACCCAATGTTTAGGTCAATACCTGGTACAAAATAGGCGGCTGAAAAAAATATGTATTTAATGAATGAATGCATGCATAAATGTTAAGAAAAACTAAGTAACTACTGCTACATATTAAGTATAAAATCAATGATGAAAAAACTGTCATCAAATTCAACAAGTCTGGCAACCAATCAAGCAAAAAAAAAAAAAAACTTCTGCCCAAAGAAGGTGCTGGCTGAATTGCATTTTAAATAACAAACAAGAGAAGATAATGAGCCAGGAAAAAGAGGAATTCTGGGAAGAGGAAAGAGAACACATCAAAACGATAAAAAGTATAGTACACACCACCTTATAAGTGATTTCAAATTAAAGCTGGTGAGCTGTGGGAGACCGTAGGTGGGGAGTTAGTAGCAAAAGGTTAATCTAAAAATAGACAAGTGTCAGTTCATGAAAAAAATTTTAATACCCAGTTGATACGAGAGAGGTATTGTTGGGTTTTAGTCAGCTGAGAGAGAAGTTCACTATTTTTGGAAGACAATCTTTCTAGCAATATGACAGGGGCACAACCATAATCAAGAAGGCCAGTTAAAAGGCTTCTGTACCAATACAGACAAGAGCCATCAGGACGGTCTTCTTACTCATCCTCCACCAGCTGTCAACACCACTGACTAAC